TTCCATAGTATTTAAGGCTCGTGTTATAACCCCTTCCAGTTCCCCTGCGTTCCGCACCGAAGAGGGGAGGAACACCGGGCGGGTGCTTTTTCCCGCTGGGGTGGGCTCTTTGTGGGGGGGACCAAAAAAACAGAGAGAAAGGGGGGGGGGCCCAGAGGAACTGTTTGGGGGGGTCTTTTCAAAAAAAACCCCGGGGGGGGGTGCTGGCGGGGGGTGGTGATGGGGTAGATTAATTTGCAGCAGCATCGTCGATGATTCACAATCAGTGCAGTCGATGGCCCAGATGGTGGCTTCCTTGCCTTTTCTGCCACCAAGATACCTGGATCTCTGCGCTCAGGGCAGGTGCCTGGCTCGATGCACGTAATTTATGTCTACGGTGTGGGCAGGAATGCAATACGAATTCAAGCAGAGGAAGCAACGACGATGATGTAACCTTGAGAGGGCCTCTACCTAGATACTACCAAAGGAAAGTACTCTCGATGCTCCGGTTTCAGTCCACCTCAAGGGTCGTAGCCAATGAAATCGTACTCAAATGCAACGCCCTCAATCGCCTCAACATTGTGGTGGCATGTGCCCCTTGTCCCGCATTGCTCTTCCTTCACGATACGAACCATCGCCATGGGGAAGTAGCATCTCGGCACTCTGCCAGGACCCTCGCTGCTGAGGTCAAGATTGTGATCACCCTCAGCGTTGTAACCGCAGTCCATGATGGAGCGATAGTAGGCGGCACGATTGTCGAGACCGTACTGCGTCATCACGCCCGTGTGGAACTCCGGCAGCGGCTCGCGGTACAAGTTCACACGTTGGTCCCACTGCTGAAGATTGACGCAGTAAAACTTGCCCTCCCATTCGATCCACTCGCGTCCGATGACACCGTCGTAGCATTCCTGCTCACTCGGACGATGCTCGTTGAGGACGAGGACATACCATGCGTGGACGAGTGCTTGATGAGCCACTTTGCGCTCGATGTTCTTGACTGCGTCCTGCACATGATCTGTGATGCCGCTCGTGTGCAGATGCGCGAGCCAGATGCCCGTGTTGAGGAACTTGGCTATGGGGAACTCGTAGCTGTCGTTTCTGGGAGCCGGAAGATTGGTGTAATCGTCGTCGATCTTAGATGCACCGAAGACGGCACGGAGGGTCTTCTCGAGGCCATGCTTAGTCTGGGCGAAAGCCTTGCTGAGCTCGGCACTGATCTTCCCGTTGACAGGCTCATCCTCGTCTTTCTCGACCTGGGAAAGTAGCTCGCCAATCAAGGTGACAGAAGCGCCCTATCCAATCGATGGTCAGCAACAGGAGCGGACGATGTGCTGTGCTTGTGTTGGAGAGCACAATTGGTGTGAACTTACACCTCCGGGGATGGGACCAAACCCGCCTCCAAGCATATTGAAGGCTGCAGCAACCCACGCAACCATGTCGTCGTCGGTCTCTAGCTTGCCGCCAATCGTGAGGATGATCTCATCAATACGACCGCTGAGCTCGGTGACTTTGGCGTGCAGCTCGGTGTAGTAATGGTTGAAAACGGTGTAAACGCCCTCGAGGGCTCGGAACTGCCAGTAGGCAGGCTTGAGGTCGTTGGAGTTCTCTGGCTTTTCGGCCTCGGCAAAGTATTGTGGGCAGTCCCAATTCTTTGTTGCCTTGCAGGTCCCACCAAGCACGGTGCAGGAGTCAAAGGCGGTCCTACTGACAGAGTAGAGGTCTCTCTCATAGCCCCCGTCTCCCATCAACCAATCCTTGGGTCCGTCTAAAGCAAGATTCTGCAGTCAGCATTTATTCACTGACTTTTCAGACCCGCGATGAAGAGGCACCAACGCTAGCAACCTGGGCGCTCAAAAGCCAGGGGTACAACTTACGCTGGCTAATCTTGGCCCATGAGTTCAATAGCCAGCTGCCGCCAATCTCCTCGTCCCAGAATTTGTAAGCACTCTCCTCCGTGCTCAGGCTTGACGGGAAGCACCACTTGTTCACGTCGTGAAGAGGATCGCCGGAACGCGGCGACATCTGCGGGACAGCATAGGCCTGGACCAAGGCAGCCTGCACAATGACATACGCGATATCAGCCCTCATGTTGAAATGCTTGAGACCACTGGAGTGAGATGAAACGTTAAGAAAAAATCTCGTAAAGTGAAGGTGTAGGTATGAAATCGACTGTTTTTTTTTTTTTTTTTTTTTTTTTTTTCAGATTTGTGATTTGATGAAACGAACCAGAAGAAAACGGACCCGTGACGAAGGAAAGGACAAAAGGAAAGAGGCAGAGAAGATGAGAACGATGATGAGTCACTGTAGAAAATGGAATGCTGAATGACTTATTGTAGTATATCAGGGGCCATCTACATCCTTTATACTTGTCGAGCAGAGTCTTTCTACCAGGGCCCGCGAGAACACTCAAGGCCTTGTACACCAGCCGCATGGTGTCCTCGGCGCTAGAAGAGGTTCTGCGAACTCATGTTTTTTCTTGGAACCTGTCTTTGCGAACTGGGCTACAGCACAAGGTTCTGCGCCTCAGAATTCTCAGTCGTAGCCCTCTTAGATCGAGAGCTCATCATGAATCATATCGAAAGGCGTAGCCTCTCGTAAGCCTCAGAGCTCAGCCCCGAACACAGCATCCAATCAGGGCACTTTGACGCCTATGTTGACCCCTGTGTCAGATATCTTGGCCGGCGCCTAACCCATGGCTGCACATAAGCTGCAGGACATGTGCTGACTATTGTTTGGGGTGAATCCCTGTCACTTTGGGGGCTCATGCACCATCGACGAACTGTAGCTACGTAGGTACTCCACTAAATGCTTACAGCGGCACAGCCGACCTGTTCTGCAGGCTTCGTACTTGAGGAAGACTCCCAACCTTCTTTTCCTCGATTGGTGCATCGTGAGATAAAGTCAGGGCCTTCAAATTGTACAGTGATCATCTGATCATGTAAGATTTCAATCTATTGAACGTGGAGTCGAAGCTTTACTGCCCTAACAGCTATTGGAATAGACGAGGGGCCAGCCGTTGAATCTCTCACCCCCGCAATGTCTGTGCATGACTAATTCACACCGTCTGGGGTGGAATAGCATGTGCGCTCGTAAGGTGTTACATCCCTCCATCCCCAGTTAGGAACTGACATATCCCCAGCGAGGGGCGTTGATGATAATGCCACAGAGAGCTCCAGAGAGTAATCCAGCAACGGGAAGAGTCAGTACCCAACCTCCATACACCCATGCAACCATACGCCAGTTGATAGATCTCCAGGTGCCGGAACAAAGGCCGACACCGATCACACCACCGGTGAGACACTGGGTGGTCGAGACGGGAAGCTCTGTGGGTTCAGTCAGCGTCTGAAACTCTCCAGCAGTCAACAAACCACTAAAGAATGACATGGGAAGGTCTTACTGAGCTGGGTAGCAAGAATGATGGTGCAGGTGGCGCCGAGCTCCATGGCGAAACCGCGCGAGGGAGAGTGGAGCGTCAGACGGTTACCGAGGTTACGCATGATGTGGTAGCCGTATGTCCAGATACCAATGGAGATGCCAATGCCTCCGTAGACGCTGAGACATTGTTAGAATTCTTTTCCTCATGGGTTGAGTTGGATGGGATCATTGCGAGTCTGGGGTCGCGTGCTAGGGATGTGGGCCCCG